AACGTTTACAAAAAAAAAAACAAGAATTCAAAATTGTACAATAAAATTTTACAATTTGTCTTAGAAACCTCAAAATTAAAAAGACTAATTTTTTATCCCACGAGAGTGATTTATGGTAATTCTTTGGAAATTTTTCAATGGTCAGATATTGAAACTGAATTGTTTTCCTTCCTGCTTTTAAACCAAGAAAGTCTTGCACAAGTTCCACTTGGAGAATGGTTAACTTCACGTTTTCTGTATGTTACTTAGAATCCAAGAAACTGGGTCTCTCTTTTCGATCGATTTTACAATTTATTTTAGAAACTGAACTACCGAATCGCATAAAATTGTCAAGAATTCAAAAATTTTACTTTATCTTAGAAATCGCAAAGAAACAAAGCTTGGAATCGATTTTACAATTAATCTCCGCCTCTCGGCTTACGTCGAATGAAAAAATCATCAGAATTGAGACAGGGCGGGTGGGCGGGGCTTATATTTTGCATTTTTTTTAATATATGTAGCCATATTAACATATATTAAAACAAAAAGGCAAAATGTAACGTGAAAGATCATCACAGTGAGACTTTTTCTTGCTTAGGAATCGTTTGGCAAGAAAAAATTATATAATTATGTAATTTTGAAAAAATGGTTCTTGATTTAATTGGTAAAAATTTGGCGTGGAGTAATTAAAAAAAAACAAATATCAACTACAAGCGGTTCTTCAAAAAATGTCTCTGATGTTTAGTGGAAAAAGTACGGTGCTCATTTCCAGCTCCAATTTTTCTTCTCGTAAACGCATTCTTGGCGAAATTCGTAATTTCTGTGTCGGACTGAAAGTGATTTTTTTTTAAATCTTAAAAATTGCCATATTTATAAGTGGTACGACAAAAAAAATTGTTCTAAAGAGTTTAGACAGTACTTCCCTCGCTGTCGGAAACGTGACGACTGCATGTCTATTATGTTTTTTTTCGCAGCAGATTTCAAAGCATTCGGTTTTGTAGTTCCTGAGTTAACCAATAAAATAAATTTACGCATTCATTAATTTTTTTGAGTCACCCTGTATATGCAAATCCGAAAAATATGAACCGAGTAATATATCACAAGTACAGACTCATCATATTTTGTACATTTTAGATAGGATTTATTCGGCAAACTTTTGAGCTGACGTCATCAAGTTTTTGGAGGGGATAACCAAATATATTTTGACTAAAGATTTATGATGCTCTTTATAGCCTTAAAACATCTGCAACATTTCAAAACATTCGGGTTAGCAGATTCAAAATTAAATTGCAAAATGTTGTTTTATAATTTTGATTTTTTTCCAGAAATCTGGACGTTTCGGGTAAAAACTCAATTCGGAGTCGTAAAGTACATGTGTAGGACTATGTTATTTTATACAATTTAAAACCCATTTACTATGTACAATTTTGAAGTGACGTCATCGCATTAGTGGTGGGGATGATTAGACAAATTTTGGTTAGCGTTTTACCATCTACATGATATTCCTAATATAACTACAAAATTTCGTAACAATCGGTCCAGTACTTTCGGAGATTATCTGTCTAATAAAAATCCGGGACGGCAGACAGACGGACAGACGGACAGACAGACGGACAGACAGACGAAAATGAGAGACCTATTTCTTCGTCTTCTAGGGGTCATGAAAGATCGAGAAAACGTAAAAGTAGAGAGTCGGCCGACGGACTCGATTACAATACTTCCTTTGCTTACGCTCGAGAATTAAAATTGAACAATTTCAATGATTCCATCAGGTCACTAGACAAATACACTGGTGTAGGGGATGATTAGACAAATTTTCGTTAGGGTTTTACTTTCTAAAGAATATTCCTAATATAGATATAAAAGTTGGCGACAATCGGTCCGGTAGTTTCGGAGATTATACAATAATATATAAAGTAAAAACTTGTAGCGAAATTAACAATCGAAAAACCGGAAAAAATAGAACATCGGAAAATCGATAAATCGAGATATCAAAACATTTTTAAAATCGAAAAATTGAAAAACCGAAAAATCGAAATCCGAAAAGTCAAGAAATCGAAAAACCGAGCAATTGAAACACCAGAAAATCACAAATTGCAAAAAGACAATATCGGAAAATTAAAAAATCCAAAAATCGAAAAATTCTCGAAATATAAATATGGAAAAATTGAAAAATACAGAAATTGAAAAATTCGCACAATTTTAATATTGACAAATTTAGAACTGACATGTCTGAAAATTGAAAAATCGAAATTGAAAAATTGAAACATCGAAAAATCGAAACATGAAAAAGATCGAGGAATCGAGATGTAGAAAAATCGAAAAAAATAGCTAAAATCGAAAAATTAAAAAATTCGACATTGAAAATTGAATCGAAATATGGATAAATCGAGAAATCTAGAAATTGAAAAATAGAAAAACTGAAAAATTGAAAAATTTAAAAACCAAAAATCTAAAAGCGAGAAATCGAACATGAAGAAAGTGAAAAATCGAAATTTTAAAAATTCGAAAAATTAAAAAATTGGTGAAACGACCAACTGAAAAATTAAAAAACCGAGAAATCTAAATATCCAAAATTTTTTAAAATCGAAAAATTAAAACATCGAAAATTTGAAAAATCGAAAAATTGAAAAATCGAGATATCAAGATATCAAAAAATCGAAAAAATATAAAATCGAAGAATCTGAAATTAGAAAAATTGAAAAATTTTTAGAAATCCTAAACGTAAAATATCAAAAAATCAAGAAGTTGAAAAATCGAGAAATTGAAAAAGCTAAAAACTGAAAAATCGAAAACTTGACAAATCAAAAAATAGAAGAATCGAGAAATCCAGAAATCAAAAAGTCAATTAATCATAACATTGAAATATCGAAAAAAAGAAAATTTAGTAACACCAAAAATGGAAAATTGGAAAAATCGAAAAATTGAAGAATCGAAAAACTGAATAATCAAAAAATTGAAATGTTGGAAAATCAAGAAATCGAAAAATCGGAAAATTGAAAAATCGAAGAACCGAAAAACTGAAAAATCGAAAATTTTTAAAATTGAAAAAATGAAATACATGTTAAAAAAATCAAAATCAAGAATCGGTCCAGTACTTTCGGAGATTATCTGTCTAATAAAAATCCGGGACGGCATACAGACGGACAGACAGACAGACGGAAATAGGTGACCTATTTCTTCATCTTCTAAGGGTCATGAAAAATCGATAAAACGTAAAACGTGGAGAGTCAGCCGACGGACTCGATTACAATACTTCCTTTGCTTACGCTCGGGAAGTAAAAATGAGATTAACGCTCCGTTTCAATTTTTTATGTTTTTTCTGCCAGGACGTAAATGGAGCGTTAAGAATTATTCATGTATTTCATTTTTGTTTAATAATTTATTTTACCATTGCAATCAGAAAGAAAGTATGATTCATAAAAAAAATAACTCTATTAAAAATGCATTCATTAAATATACTCCTCCCTCTTGCCTCACGATGCATTAAAAAAATCATCACAATTGAAGTAGGGTGGGTGGGCGGAGCGTACATGTTGCCCCTTTTTTTTTAATATACGTAGTCATCTTGTTACAAGAAAAACTTAAAACAGATGACTACGTATACTAAGAAAAAAAAGGCAACATGTCTGCCCCGCCCACCCGCCCTTTCTCGATCGTGATAATTTTTTTTGGCAAGTCGTAAATCATGGGGCGGAACTTAATATGCAAAATTCTTGTTTTTCTACGAGAAGTTGTCTTGGCTTAGGACAAATCAAACAATCAAACAATCAAAAATACAAGTTGCCTTTTTTCCTTCATATACGTAATCATCTTTTCACAACAAAAACTTAAAACAGTAAAAAAACATTTTGTCTAGTCCGAATAAACGATGGATCTCAATTGAAGAGAGATAAAATCGGTAGAATGAGAACAGCGTGTGTGGGCGGGGTTAATATCTGCTAAGATAAGACTGATTTTGGTAAATGACTGAACAATATTAAGAGTAACCACTGGAATGTCGAGGGGTAGGTGGGCGGTACTACTGCTTGCTTATAAAAAATTCTATAAAAAAAAAGTTAACCCGTTTATAGATATATTTTGATTAACAATTTACCATGTTTACAATAACTTTAAAACGTCTGCAAGATTTCAAATTACTCAGTTTTGCAATTCTTTATTTAATCAATAAAATAAATTGACTCAGACATTAAGTTTTTTTGAGAAACCCTGTATAAACAAATCTAAAAGTTATTAATGCAGTTATAAATCACAAGTACAAACTCGTCATGTTTTGCACATTTACGATAGGATTTATTCAGCAATATTTTGAGGTGACGTCATCAGTTTTTTAGGGGGGGATGAGCAAATACATTTTGATCGAAAAATTACCATGATTATGATAACTTTAAAATATCTCCAAGATTTCAAACCATTTCGTTTTTCAGTTCCTAATTACGTATTCATTAATTTTTTTAAGTAAGTACAAAAAATATGAACGGAATGATAAATCACAAGTATTGGCTCATCATATTTTGGACATTTAGATGAGATTTATTCGGCAAAATTTTGAGCTGATGTCATCAATTTTTTGGAGGGGATAAGTAAATATATTTTGCTTAATAATTGATCATTTAAAAGCATTCGATTTGTATTGTAATCGAGTCCGTTGGCCGACTCTTTACTTTTTTTTTTGTTGATTTTAATTTCATATTTGTTTGATGTACATCCGTTTCACATATGCGTAATCCCTCTTAGTAAAACATTAAAAACCACATCACTGCTAAATGTTCTTGTTTTGTAGATAATTGTAGTGTTATAGATCCATACCACAAGAGTGAACACAGAATTTGCGTGTGGAATAGTCACAAAACAGACATTCGTCCTATTTAAATATTTATTTGTAATGTTGATTCTTGTCACCCATTGCTTTTCCCGGAGTTGAACATTATTAGGGCAGTAAACAATAAGGCGAGCATTAAAACTCTAGATTTCGTCCTCTTATTCGCAAGTGTTTTAGTAAAAGTGTAAATCGTGTTAGGATGTCTGTCAAAATTAATAACGCTGCTGCTGGATTCCTACGAGAGAGAATAACAACAGGCCAACAACTAATAACAAACAGCCCACAACTAGGGATGTCTGGAGCACAAACTGTCTCAGCGGAAGCAAGCAACATGCATTAAATAGATACCCCGGAGAACGAAATTCTTTTCTGATAGAAATTATCTTAAATTAAATACCGTGTTATCGAAAAAACAGAGATTAAAGCTAGCTGCGTTTAAAGTTACATGCTGATAATGACCCTGTGGAATGTGAAACAGGATGCACGTAAGCGCATCGTTGAAACAGATTTTATTTTTTAATTTTTTCGAGTACAACAAAGGCTTTACTGTATAATGAACAAAATATACGAATATTTTAAATATCTACGTTTATAAAGTCTGTTATTGCTCAATTTAGTTTACAAATACGTGTGGACTCGTTTTTGGCGCAGTCGGTGGTCACTCATTAAAACTAAAATATCATGATTCGAATCAATTTTAAAATATGTAAAACACGTCCAGAAAATTCTTGAAAACTAGTCAATACTAACAATTTGTTTCGGAGCGCACGCCGCCGCCGGTCGCTAGGTGAGCATTGATAAATCGCGAGTGGTGGCGTGGTCTAACGCAAGTGAGTGTCTCGTAAAAATGGAAAACAAAGCAAAAAAAGGCAAACTGTGGCACCGAATAAAATTCAGGAACCAAGTCTCCCCGTCCATCGCGCCCCTGGCCAGCGACAGCTTGCGGCAGTTCGCCATGGAGCTCAAGCGCCGCCACCGCGTCATGCTCTACATGAACCGCGTCGTCAAGAAGAAGAAGTCCGAGGAGCGCGGCGCTAAAGTGGGCCCCCTGTTCGCCGCCGCCTCCACCGACGACGACATCCGCCAGTCCTGCCTGCGCTGCCCCTCCACGGCCATGTCGCGCTTCCAGGAGCGCGATATCCTGCGGAAGGTGGCGGCCCGGGGGCTGGAGCTGCGATATCCGGCCCTGCTCGACGCCATCATGGCCGAGGCCCGCGAGGAGTTCCTTTCGGCGACGCAGCAGGCGGGAATCGAAATGAAATTACGCTCGGTCGAGAGGCGGTTTCAAATTCACCCGTACAAGCATCTGGGGAAGACCGACAATTACCCGGTCTTCCTTCAAAGGCGGAAGGAATTAAAAAGCAAGTTTATTTTGCACCACCCACTGATTAGGCGGATTCTGGGGGAATGCGTGACGAAGCTGCCGTACGAACTGTTGAATCTAGGGGCGTCGTTGCGTAGTCGACTGGACACAGACGACTTCCAGAAGCACATCTTCGATTACGCCAACGACGCGGCGCAGAGGCTACAGGAGTTCTACAGGAACATTGTGGGGTTGGTGGAGCACGAGAGGATGAGTCCGGGGCAAGCCGCCAGTCACCTAGGGGCGTGCACCGGGTTGTTGTCAGTCAATATTAGTAGGACCATAGCACACACCTTGCTACACGTGGCGACCTTCACAGGCTCCAAAGAACAATTTTCGTACCTAAAGCTAACCATCACGTTCGAGGACCGGCTAATATTATCACCCACAGCTGAAGAAGTCATCGACATCTACAGCAAGTTTTTGAGAAAAATCATAGACGGCGCCCGCCAGTTCTACGTTTTGGAAAAGTACAAGCTAAAGGGTTTCGATAACAAACAAATCTACCTGTGTTTGACCGAAGAGTTCTTTGATTCTGTCCTAGCAAGAATCGCCTGTAACATCAAGGAAAAGTACAAGCCAATTTTAGCATACATTGACAAGCTAGACAGCGAGTTTGTCGATATTTACGAAGATCTTTGTTCCAGAGGTAGCACCATTGCCACAAGCGACTTAATTTTTAAAGACGGTTGCAAGAAACTTCTTTATTTTAAGTCATATTTGCCTAAAGTGGCGTTCATTCCAGACAACGCGTACTTCACGATCGGACAACTAATCATAACCGAGTATCGAGAAGTGTTAAAGCAAACTTTACTCACTATTGTAGACAACATTTTTGCTAATTTAAGCGCGCAGCACGAATGGGAGAATACCGATATTTGCGAAGCGTTCGATATTATTTACGTGAGGGCGACTCAAAAACCTATAACGACGGAGGAGGTGATCGAGATCGGTAAGTACATGGCTTGGGTGAGAAGCGAGTATTTGGACGAGTTGAAAGAGAGGGTGGTAAAGGCTTTGGCTTATCTTACGAAATTAATCCAATTAGGACCTTTGAACGAAAATCATATAATAATAAACGCGAAAGCGATTAATTGGCTCGATGAAATTTTGCCAATTTTGGAAGAAAACAGTACCAACTATGAGCAGCTGAAATTCGAGGCTGAGGAAAAATTGCAGAGGGTCATCGAGGATATTAACGTCGACATCAAAGATGTGTATCCTTTGTTGGACATTTTAGACTCGATGGATAATATAGAGAATGTGCGGAGTTACTTGAACACTATCACGCTACACATGGTGAAAATAAAAAAAATCGAAAGTAAAATCGACTGGATAAACAAAGAGGAAGTTTCGCTGAACTTTCCGAAGTCTTCGTACGCGGAATTCGAGGAGCTTAAAAATTACGTTTATCCTTTCTATCATTTATTAAAATTATGCTTGGACGTGCAGAGAAATTTATCGGTGTGGTTAGATGGACAATTTGATTTAATAATTTACGAGAAAGTTAAGGCAACCGTCGAAAAATATTATAAGGAGCTCTTGAGAACTCAAAAAGTTTACAGAAACAAACTCCGACAAGCGCAAGACGAGAATTTATCTTTACGATTTAAAGGAACTGTTGATGACCCTGATATGCTAAATTGGCCGGCTCCTTTAAAATTATGTTCCAAAGCAATTAAGTTAATTCAAGATTTCGAGCCTTCTCTGGCTGTAATAAAAATAATGTGTAATGAAGCGTTAATGAAAAGGCATTGGCAAAAAATGTCGAAAGTTGCCGGCTTCGATATTACGCCGAACGCTGGAACTACATTAAGAAAAATTATTCAGATCGATCTCAAACCTGATATCGACAAGTACGAATTGATCAGTTTTTCGGCAACTAAAGAGAGAGAGTTATTAGAGAATTTGGAACAGATGCTTCGCGAGTGGGCGGATGTTAATTTCAAGATAGAAGATCGCAAAGACATTAAAATAATTATACAGCTGGAAGACATCGAAGTCGTAGCTGACGATCACATAATTAAAGTAATAAACATGCTAAACTCGATTTACGTCAAACCGTACGACGACCGAGTCAAAGACTTTTACAACAAATTGCTACGAATCACTAAAACAGTCCAAGAATGCAGGCAAGCGCAGCAACAATGGCTTCATTTTTTCCCCTTATTCCTCTGCCACGAAATCACGACTCAAATCAGCGCCGAGACGGAAATATTCGAACAAATTACGAACACTTACACAAATTACGTCGAAATGATTCATGTAGACCCCAACGTGTACGCGACCGTCGACAATACGAACATCCTGCCAGACCTCCTCGACTGCAATCGCCAATTCGAGCTAATTAATCGAGGAGTTAACCGGTATTTCGACAAAATTCGAACGTATTTCCCCCGTTTCTATTTCGTTTCTAACGAAGAAATGTTTAGCATTTTATCGCTAACCGAAGACCCGACTCGGATTCGCACTTTCATCAAAAGTTTATTCTATGAAATAAGAGACTTGCGATTCGACGAGAACTTCACCATCTTAGGAATTGTAAGCGAAAATGACGAAATTCTACACTTAACTCGAGCTATCGAAACGCAAAAATTTCATGGCTGCGTAGAAATGTGGTTAAAGGAGTTGGCAAATCAAATCGGGGAATCGATTCGACGAATGATACAAGAAGCAGTCAAAAATCACAATCAAGAACGCTGGATATTACAATGGCCCTGCCAAATTTTACTCGCTGTTACGAAAATTATTTTCACTCTCGACGGAATAGACGCCATAAACAACAACACTCTCAGCCCCTACCGAACGCAAATTCACAACCAAACGGAAAACGTCGTTAAGATTATCAAATCGAACGAAATCACCAACACCGCCAGATCGAACATAAGCTCCGTACTCGTGACGATGAGCAACAACAAAGACATCGTAACGAAACTAATAACGGAGAACGTCACAAGCGACCAAGATTTCAGATGGTTAGTCCAGCTGCGATATCACCTGACGGACGAAGGTGCCTGCGTCGTCGCAACACTAGACAATCGTCTCAATTACGGGTACGAATACCTGGGAAACGGCGAAAACATCGTGGTCACCCCAGAAACAGAAAGATGCTACCAAGCACTAATGCTAGCCCACAAATATTGCCTCTGTGCCAACGTTCAAGGTCCCACAGCAACCGGAAAGACCGAAACCATCAAAGGATTAGCCAAAGCTGTAGCTGTTTTTTGCACCTTCTTCTACTGCTCCCCAAACGTAAAATTTCAAGTAATTTTCGAATTTCTCAAAGGAGTAGCTTCCAGTGGTTGTTGGCTAGTTCTCGAAAAGCTAGACGAAGTTCAACTGGAAGTCAGTTCAATCCTGTCACAAGAAATTGCCAAAGTGTCAACAGCCCTCAGAGGTGGTCTAAACCAAATCGTCTTAAATTCAACAGAAATACCACTGCAGAAGTGCTTCATTGCATGTACAATGAAAAACCGCTGTCATTTTCCAGAGAATTTTCGAGTTTTATTTCGCCCGATAGTACTCACCGTACCAGATCGCCTAATCATCACACAAGTCAAATTATTGTCATTTGGTTATCACCAGTGGGAAGACCTAGGAAAACGCATCGCCACCACCTACCAACTAATGGAAGACATGCTCCACTTCTCCAAACTAGACTACAGCATAAGCTCCATCCAACAAATTTTGACCAAGTGTGCCAACTTTGTCACCAGTGATTCAAACGAAGAAACCACCATCTACAACTGTCTTCGTCAACAAACCACTCCAAAATTAACCTCCACTGAACTAACAGTGTTTGAAAATATTTTGCTACAACTTTTTCCAACCTCGGCATGCCAACCCCAAAGCACCACCAACGAAACTATAGCCACGATTTGTCAAAACCTGAATCTAGACGCCAATAGTAACTTTATTGGAAAAATCGAAGAAATGCAGCTGTCAATGAAAACCAAAAAAGGAATAATGACAGTAGGACCAACCTTCACAGGAAAAACAACCTCACTTCGCGTTTTGCGCGAACTACTCCTCAGTGACAAAAAAATCGACATCAAGATCATTTGCCCGAAAACGTTAACCCTGAAGCAACTTTACGGAGGACTTGATGACAATCAACAGTGGTGCGATGGCATAATTACCAAGTACGTCAGAGAAGATAGTGCGGACGAAGACTGGATTATCCTTGACGGTAGTGCGGATGCGCTTTGGACAGAAGAACTAACCTCGTTGTTAGACGATAACTACAAACTTTGTCTATCATCGGGCGAAGTCCTACATTTAAAACACACCAAGACGGTTATTTTTGAAGTTGAACATCTAAATCAAGCGTCTCCTGCTATGGTAAGTGCAAACGTCTCTCAGTCCGGTTTCTGATTTCACTTTCCAGATTTGGCGTTGTCGGATTATTTACATGGGTCCGGACACCATTGGGTGGAAGCCGTTGTTGCAATCGTGGCTCCACGGCACTGATTTCGAATGGCAAAAAGGATTCGAAGACAACTTCACCGTTTTGTTCCACTGGGTGGTTCCCCCGTGCTTGGAGTTCGTCAAAACGGATTGTCAACAGTTGTGTCAAGTTAACGAAAACGGGTTAGTTAAAACCACGATTCAGATTCTTGAAATGTTGTTAATTGAGGCCTATGACGCCATTTTAAAGAAAGAAGAGGATGTCAAAAATTTCTCGTCTTGGATTCAGGCGAGTTTCATCCAAGCGGTTATATGGGGTATAGGGGCCAATCTGGATTTTGATTCGCGTTCAAAGTTTGACGAGTTTTTCAAACAGTTGTGGAAAGGTCAAAATAAAAACTATCCCTATCCGGCTAGTCTGGAAAAAGTCGAAGTTAGTGTCCCCATTGAGGAGAAAATTTTTGATCATAGTTACTTGTACAAGTCGAAGGGTAACTGGAAATTTTGGCCCGACGTTTTAAAAAATGAAAAAGTAGAAGAGTGTGAGTATTTGTTAGAAATTTTTGTGCCCACGAACGAGACTATTAAGTATGCAACCATCATTAATATGCACATTACTTATAATTACCCTCTGCTCTTAGTTGGACCATCAGGGACTGGAAAAAGTTCGTGCATGTTAGATATTGTAATGAACAAATTAAATAAAACGTTATACGAACCTACTTTTTTGACTTTCACGTCTAGTGTTACCGCGAATCAAACTCAAGAAATGATTTTGTCGAAACTGTATAAAAACAAAGCCGGACGATACGGTCCAACGGAAGGAAAAAAATCCATTCTCTATATTGACGATTTCGGTGTACCTTGTACCGACGAATTCGGAACCCGATCAAGTTTGGATCTAATCCGGGAACTGTTCGACCACCAAAAGTGGTACAACTTGGAAAACTTCAAACCGCTTTATATTGACAACGTGAACCTTGTAGCCACGATGACCACAACTTTCGGGGACCAAAATATGTGCCAAAGACTACTCCGACATTTCAACGTTTTATCCATCACCGAGCTACCCGAAGAAAGCATTTTGCGCATCTTCTCCAACGCCCTTCTAACCCAATGGAAAAAAATTGGCTTTCCGAGCGACATCATGGGAACTGTCAACCAAATCGTCTCAGCTACCTACCACTTCTACAAGTCCATCCTCAACCTAAAACCAACCCTCAACTGCAACTTTTACTACTTCAACATGAAAAACTTCGCTAGGGTTATACAAGTTTGCTCACTCATCCGCAAGGAAAGTGCTGACACTAACAAGAAGCTTTTTTTTAAGTTGTGGACGCACGAAATGATTCGCGTTTTGGGTGACCGGTTACAAAAAAAAGACAAACCTTGGCTGTTTGACAACATCAAGTTCTGCATCGACGAACACTTTAAAGAAGAGTTTGTCCATTTGTTCGAGAATTTGCCAAAAGATGACAATGGTGAGCCGGATTTGACGAAATTGTTGTTTGGGACGTTCACAGATAAAGCGTCTGGACGGTTTGACGAAACGGATGTTGACAAACTCAGAGAAATTGCCACGTCGTGTGTGAAAGATACCAACACTGATCCAGTTCTTTTTGGACATGCTTTGGAACACTTGTCAAAAATCTGCCGCATATTGTCAATACCGTGTTGTAATTTAATTCAAGTGGGGATGTGTGGAACGGGTCGCCAAACCTTAGTGAAACTAGCTTGTTTGATTTATGAACAAAGTTTTTTCAAAGTGAGTATGAGGGAGAACTACTCGGGTGACGACTGGCACAGAACTGTTAAATCGTTTCTTAAGGAAGCGGGCGGATATGGAAAACCGTGCACGTTCTTTCTGAAAGAAGAGCAAATCGTGCAAGATATAATCCTAGACGACTTAGACTACTTGTTGAAAACCGGGCAAATACCCTTCCTGTATTCGTTAGAAGAAAAACAAGAGATTTTAGACGTCGTACGAGATAGTATGCAAGAAGAAACCTCAAGTATCTCCGGAGATTCAGAATCTATTTTTTTGTATTACCACAAACGTTGCAAGGAAAATCTTCATATTGTAATTTCGTTCAATCCAACCAACGCAAAATTTAGACAATATTTGAAAATGTATCCTTCCTTGCGCAATTTTTGCGAAATTAACTATCTAGGTAAATGGCCCCCTGAAGCTCTCGAGAGCATTACGCAAGCATGGATGGAAGATTTGAACATTGCCAAAGAAATCAAAACGAAAGTTGTCACTTCCTTTAGTTACTTCCACAAGCAAGCGGAGAAAATTTCGGACGGTGTCCACGTAACCATTGGTTCTTACTTGGAGTTTATCAAACTCTACGTCAAATTGGTGGTTTACAAGCAAAAAAAGATCACCGACGTCAAACAACGCTATTTGGCTGCTTTAGAAAAACTATCTTTTGCTGCATTTCAAATATCAGAAATGCAAAAATCTTTAGCTGATTATCAACCTCAATTAGAAGCTATGACGGTGCAAGCAGTCGAAATGGCCAAACAAATAGAAACAGAAACCATAGAAGTGGAAAAAGCGTCTGACCTTGTTAAAAAAGATGAAGAAATAGCAAACGAGCAAGCAGCTGCTGCTCAAGTTTTGAAACTAGATTGTGAAGCCGATTTAGCTCAAGCTATTCCAATTTTAGAAGATGCTATTTCAGCTTTGAATACTCTTAAACCTACTGATATCACTCTAGTTAAGTCAATGAAAAACCCTCCAGATGCTATCAAACTAGTAATGGCTGCTGTCTGTGTAATTAAGGATGTCAAACCCGACCGAATCCCGGATCCTTCAACAGGTCGCAAAACCATAGACTATTGGGGACCAAGCAAGCGAATCTTGGGTGACATGAACTTCCTCCAAACCCTCAAAGACTTCGACAAAGACAACATCAAGCCAGAAATCATGGTCAAAATTCGCAAGGACTACCTCCCGCATAAAGACTTCAAACCCCACATTGTGGCCAAAGCATCAAGTGCTGCTGAAGGTTTATGCAAGTGGATCATCGCCATGGACATGTACGACAAAGTAGCCAAAGAAGTGGCACCAAAAAAGGAAAAATTAGAGAAAGCGGAGCGAGAATACGGAGCTACGATGTCCATCCTCAACGAAAAAAAGGAACAAGTCACCCGAATTGAGCAAAAACTAGCAGATTTGAACGCTTTGCTTAGAGAAGCTACGCGTAAGCAGCAGAAATTGCAACGTGATGTGGATATTTGCAAGAAGAAGCTGAATCGAGCGCAGAAGTTGATTGGGGGTTTGAGCGAAGAAAAAATTCGGTGGACGAATGCAGTGGAGCAACTGCTGAAGCAGTATGAACGGTTGCCTGGGGATATTCTACTATCGAGTGCCTTCGTGGCTTATCTTGGACCGTTTCGGACTCCGGATAGAAAGGTGACTTTGGAAACGTGGCTTAATCATGTTCGGGACAACGAGATTCCGTTTAAGGAGGATTATTCGTTTGCTGAGACGTTCGAGAAGGATGTGGATTTTGACAAGTGGCACTTGAATGGTCTACCAAATGACCACTACTTTGTTGAAAATGGAATCATCGGAAGGTTTTCCCAGCGGTGGTCTTTGTACATCGACCCTCAGAACCAAGCGACTAACTGGATAAAAGTGAGCGAAAAACAGAACGGGATTAAAGTGACGAAGTTCTCGTGCCCGAATTATATTGACACCCTCAAACAATGTATCACTTCTGGAACACCTCTTTTGATTGAAAGTGTCGGTGAAAGCATCCAACCGTTTTTGATGAATTTGGTTACAAGAAGTACATTTCGTCAAGACGATCGTGACTACTTAGACATAGGAGGTCACGTTGTCGCTTATAATAAGGACTTCATGCTATACTTGACCACGAACTTAAAATATCCAACGTACAGTCCTGAAATGTACGACAAAATCACTATAATCGATTTTGGAATGAACCGAGAGTCTCTAGAAGACCATCTTCTCACTTGTGTGGTAGAAGTGGAAAAACCCACTCTCAAAAAAGTCAAAAAAACGATTAACACGGAACGAAAACGTAACAAAGATGCCCTCAATAACATAGAAGAACGAATTTTGAAAACTCTCTCCGAATCCAAGACCGACATTCTAGAAGACGAGCTTGCTCTCGAAATCCTTGATAAATCGAAAATTTTGTCAAAAGATATCCAAAAGAAGCAAAAGACGCTAGTTGAAATGGAAGGACCTCTCAAGGAGTTCCGATCGGGTTATGAAAGTGTGGCACAACACTCCACAAACCTATACTTTACTACGTATCAACTGACAAAAATCAACTACATGTATCAATTTTCCTACAACTGGTACATCGAAACGTACTCGGAATCAATACAAAAGGCCCATAAATTTAAAGAACTACCACGACGACGTGCGAGTTTGATAGATACGTTAACCTACGAACTGTATTGTAAAATTTGTAGGTCAATATTCGAACAAGATAAGTTGTTTTTTTCGTTTCTTTTATGCACAAATTTGCTGTTGTCGGAAGGCAAAGTTTCCATAGAGGAAGTAGAGGCTTTGGTACAACCAAGCAACGGAACAATGGAGAGTCAAAAAGGACCCGATTGGCTACCACACAAATCCTGGACCAAACTCCACACCATCCAAAATATAGAAATTTACCAAAACTTTGCGCAATTCGTTATCGACAATGACGACGATTTTCGCAAAATTTTCGACAGTAAAGCTCCCGAAGAAGAGACATTTCCAGAACCCTACAACAGTTGCTTTCGAAAATTGATGATCATTAGTTTCCTAAGACCGGATAGAGTATTCAGGGGTATCTATAACTTTGTAAAACAAGAATTGGGGGTTCGTTTTGTCAAACCACCGCTTTTTGACATCACTTCGTCTTTCATTGAATCTTACATCCTGTCGCCTTTAATCTTCATTCTAAAACCCGGCTCTGACCCAGTCAATTCATTGACCAGTTTTGCCAAAACCAAGAACTTCCATAACAAGTTTATAATAATGTCAGTCAGGGATGGCCGGGAACAAGAATTCGAAGACTTAATAGAAAAAGGGAAGGAGTTAGGTTTGTGGATTTGTTTGCAAAATTGTCACCTACTCAGCAGCTGGCTTCCCCTCCTCGATTTAAAACTAGAAGAAATAGACTATAGTAACACTCACGAGAACTTCAGGCTGTGGCTAACTACTAACGAAACAAACGCATTCCCGATTTCGTTGTTGGAACGAAGCGTCAAAATCACCAAAGAGTCGCCTCAAGGTATACAAAACAAGATGCTCAACTTATTTTTGAACAACCCAGTGAGTTCGCCAAGTTTTTACACGAACTGTCCCGGGAAACACGAAGCTTTCATTCGTTTGATGTATAGTGTGGCATTTTTGCACTGTATTGTGCAAGAACGACACAAGTATGGTCCGTATGGTTGGAACGTACCTTATAGTTTTAATGAAGACGACTTTTGTCTTTCGGTTTATGAGTTACAATCGATTATCAATAATCGCTCTGATCCTTGTCAGGAAATTATATATTTGGTGGAGAAGTGTAGCTATGGGGGATATATAACAAACCAAATGGATTGCAGACTTTTTGGAGTAATAGTGCGCGATTATTTGAGATTATGCAACGACTTTCACATACATGGTTTCACAGTACCTGTTAAAATCGACCATCAAGACTGCATCAACCACATTGTGAAACTACCGGAATTGGATGAGTGTGAGACGTTCGGGTTGCACGAGAATTATGAAAGTGTTCGAGAAACGAAACATTCTCGACTAATATTACAATCGATTAAAATTACCTTCAATGACACTATTATCAACAAAAAAGTGTTAAACGTGTCAGATATGATTCAAGATTTGTTGTCACAGCTCCCTGAAGAGTTTGCACTTCACGAAAAACCCAATATGGCTGACATCATGGCGCTTATAATTCTACACGAACTGAAAAGCTACAACTGGTTGTTGAGAACTATAAAAAAGTCTCTCACCGATCTAGACAAAATTATTAACGAAAGTTTGATAATGACCGACCAGTATGAAAAAATACACACTTCAATTTCCAACAACGAAGTTCCTGCTAGTTGGTCGCGAGAGACGTACGAGAACTCTTATAGTTTGTCCAATTTTATGAAAGACTTAATTGCGAGAATCGACTATTTCAGAAAATTTGAATACTCCGTGAAACAAATTATATGGTTGGGTTGCTTTTTTCAACCGAAAGCTCTTCTAGTAACTATAAAGTTGCTGCATAGTAAAGAACGGGACATTCCGGTCGATGAAATAATTTTCCAGTTCGAAAAGGTCAAAGATATCGAACTTGAAAACAGTATTTTAGTTGATGGTTTATATTTAATTGGAGCGAGTTGGAATGAGCAAACTCAAAGTCTGGAGGAACTCCCTTCTAAAGTTGTTCACCAAAGATTGCCTTTAGTTTCGTTTGTTTTTAAAAACAAGTTCGCTAATTTGTACGAGTGTGCATTATATAAATGTATCAACTGTGTTTACAGCGGGTCTTCAAATCCTATATCGCGAGTGTTTATCAAAACAGAACATGAAGCGGAACACTGGATCAAGCGAGGTGCAGCTCTTTTATGCCAAACTTGATGTATCTTGAGAGAAATTAAAGTTACTGAAAGCAAGCTTTCCTAGTTATTTTATTGTTTTAACGATTTAGGTGATACGTTCTCACTTTTGTCAAAATTATCGAACAAGATAGCGCGTATCCGACGTTGCTACGATTCATCTTCAACTTAGCTCGCTGATTTATGGCTCGAACGTAGCTGATATGTTAAGTAATGTAAAGTTATAAAAACTTTCCTTGTCACGAGGAAACTGCACCCAGAATGCCTGATATGTGCTTGAGCTATTCCTTCAACACATGAATTAATATAACCGATATAGGTGAAAGTCCTCAGCTCGTTCGATAAATTTTGAGGGAACACACTTATTCCGGATGCTTTCAGCGCGAAAAGAAAATCGAGAGAAGTTAAAAGGAAACAGTGCGTATTTCGATTATTGACCGATTATTCCATCATTAGTATCGGCAAAGCAGGAAGGAAGCACTTTCCGTTAACGGAAAATATAACATCGCCACCTAAAGCCGAAAGTAAGTCATCAAATTATCATTTTCGTCTTATTCAGAATTGCTAGATGATGTAATTTATCTCTCTTTTTCTTTTCACAACGCCAAACAAATAAAAGAACATATATAAAAAAGCTTTCAGCTCCCGGTATTTTTCTCATAAGAAAAGTGTTTTCTATGAAACATAAATTACAAAAATCATCGAACGATTTAAACTCATCGATGAAACCCCGTAGGCGAAACTCGCGGCGACTGAATTTATTTATATTTAAGAAAATGTCATCAAAGCTGCAACCGAGTTACCTTAACGGGTTAATTTTAAACGAAATGTCAGACGTGTGTACAAGGATGGTGAAATTCACTTTGTATAGAGTCCAACGATGCGCGAAATATGTTAATTGCGTGTATACAGCTGTTGATATTCTAGATACGCCTTCATTTTAGTACAGATATCAGTTACTCCGGAAATCAATAATCACCGAAGTCGCAGCAAATTATTTTAACCCACATCCGTTTAAATTTGATGGTATTAAAAATTTAATTTACTGTAATCCTATTACCAACAAAATCAACACACGTTGTGCGACGTTCAGCTCTAAATGGAAAAAGATATTCTTGTAGATTTTATCTGTACGTCGCCCCTAAATTAACCCCAATTCAAATTACAACTTTTTTAATTTAAAACTCCTCAAAATTTGTGGTTTTAGCTATATTTGAATGTCGCTGCGATAATTGACACTGCACCACAAACGAACACCGGTACATCATTAATGCTGCTATAACTACTCGAACACAATAAATACTACTATAGTTTAGTGTGGCGAGCGCTTAAGTGAAGCCACTACTAAATCATCTCTTGTTATTTACACATATTAATTAATTACGGCATGTCGGCTTATCTACGTGTTTTCACTCATTTGTTGCCGTCCTAAAACGTTTATTGTATAAACGGGGATCTTTTTTCCGCAAGTAATTTTCCCGCAGTCGTAATTTGTGACGTCACCTGACAAAAATGAGCTCGCTTTCTAAAAAACATACTCTGTTCTGGTCTTTTGGTCTAACAAACCGGTACAGAAATGAAACAAAAAGCACAAAATTGACAATATTGAAAGAACTGACACAACTCAATTTTAAATCAGTTACTATTAGGTTTTGGCCTAAAATTCTTAAAATAAAGGAGAAGAAAGTGCTTATTAACGAGTAATGTGTACATGGTTAAAAACTCCTTTTCTTCCTTAAAAATACTACGAGTTATCGAAGAAATTGAACTGTAAATAACTTCTGGACGTCGAAATATATAATAAAATGTCTTTAGGTAAGTTCAAAAATTGGTCGAAATTTTCAAAGGTGAAAAAGTTGCCTGGAACTCCAGAAACAATTATGGGATATAGGATGTCCAAGTGTAGATTAGAAAAATATGGCGTATTTAGGGTCTCGAGTGACAATTATGGAGTTCTAAGGATTTGATAATTTCGCTGTTCTGAGGATTTGAGGATTTTGATTTGAAGATTATGGAGTTCAGTGAATTTGACGATTTTGATGTTATGAGAATTTGAGGATTATTGAGTTCTGAGGATTTGAGGATTATGATGTTCTGAGGATTTGAGGATTATGGTGTTCTGAGGATTTGAGTATTTTGGTGTTCTGAGCATTTGAGGATTGTTGTGTTCTGAGGATTTCGCTGTTGTAACGATTTGAAAATGTTGATTTTCTGATGATTTGAGGAATATGGTGTTCTGAGGATTTGAGGATTTCGCAGTTCTGAGGATATGAGAATTATGGAGTTCTGAGGATTTAAGGAATTTGCTGTTCTGAGAATTTGAGGATTTTGGTGTTCCGAGGATTTGAGGATTATAGAATTCTGGAGATTTGAGAATTTCGCTGTTCTGAGAATTTGAGGATTTTGGTATTCCGAGGATTTGACGATTCTAGAGTTCTGAGGATTTAAGGATTTTGCTATTTCGAGGATTTCTGATGATCTGAATATTATGAATTTGTGAGGATTTGAGGATATGAGGATTATGGAGTTTTGAGGATTTGAGGAATTTGCTGTTCTGAGAAATTGAGGATTTTGGTGTTCCGAGGATTTGAGGATTATGGAATTCTGGAGATTTGAGAATTTCGCTGTTCTGAGAATTTGAGAATTTTGGTATTCTGAGGATTTGACGATTCTAGAGTTCGGAGGATTTGAGGATTGTGTTTTCTGAGGATTTGAGAATTATGGTTTTCTGAGGATTTGAGGATTTCAGTATCCTGAGAATTTGAGGTTTATGGCGTTCTGACAATTTGAAGAATTTACTGTTCTGAGGATATGAGGATTGCGGTGTTCTGAGGATTTGAGGATTTAGGTGTCCAGAGTATTTGAGGATGATGATGTCCTGAGGATTTGAGGATTTTGGTGCTCTGAGGATTTGAGGATTTTGGTGCTCTGTCCATTTGAGGATTATAGAGTTCTAAGAATTTGAGGGTTTTGCTATTTCGAAGATTTGAGGATTATGGTTTTCTGAGGATCTAGAGATTTCGCGGTTCTGAGAATTTGAGGATTTGTGGTTCTGAGGATTTGACTATTATGGTGTTCTCAGGATTTTGAGATTTTGGTGTTCTGAGTATTTGTGGACTATGGCGTTTTGAGGATTTGAAGATTTCGGTGTTCTGAGGATTTGGGGATTGTGATTTTCGGAGCATTTGAAGATTATGGTGTTGTCAGGATTTGAGGATTTTGGTGTTTTGAAAATTTAAGGATTGTGGTGTTCTGAATATTTGAGGACTATGAGGTTTCGAGGATTTGAGGATAATGGAGTTCTGAGGATTTAAGGAACTTGCTGTTCTGAGAATTTGAGGATTTTGGTATTTCGAGGATTTGACGATTCTAGAGTTCTGAGGATTTGAGGATTTTGCTGTTTTGAGGATATGAGGATTATGGAGTTCTGAGGATTTGAGGAATTTGCTGTTCTGAGAAATTGAGGATTTTGGTGTTCCGAGGATTTGAGGATTATGGAATTCTGGAGATTTGAGAATTTCGCTGTTCTGAGAATTTGAGGATTTTGGCATTCTGAGGATTTGACGATTCTAGAGTTCTGAGGGTTTGAGGATTTTGCTATTTCGAGGATTTGCGGATTATGGATTTCTGAGGATCTGAATATTATGAATTTGTGAGGATTTGAGGATTTCGCTGTTCTGAGGATATGAGGATTATGGAGTTCTGAGGATTTGAGTAATTTGCTGTTCTGAAAATTTGAGGATTTTGGTGTTTCGAGGATTTGAGGATTATGGAATTCTGGAGATTTGAGAATTTCGCTGTTCTGAGAATTTGAGGATTTTGCTATTTCGAGGATTTGAGGATTATGGTTTTCTGAGGATTTGAGGATTATTGTGTTCTGAGGATTTGAGGATTTCGGTGTTCCGAGGATTTGAGGATTATGGTGTTCTGAGAATTTGAAGAATTTGCTGTTCTGAGAATTTGCGGATTTTGATTTCAGGATTATGGGGTTCTGAGTATTTGAGTATTTCGCTGTTCTGAGGATTTGAGGATTTTGGTATTCTGAGGATTTGACGATTCTAGAGTTCTGAGGATTTGACGATTTTGCTATTTCCAGGATTTGAGGATTATGGAGTTCTGAGGACTTGAGGATTATTGTGTTCTGAGGATTTTGATGTTCCGAGAATTTGAGTATTATGGTGTTTTGAAGATTTGATAATTATTGAGTTCTGAGGATTTGAGGATTATAGTGTTTTGGGGATTTGAGGATTGTGTTTTCTGAGGATTTAAGAATTATGGTTTTCTGAGGATTTGAGGGTTTCAGTATCCTGAGAATTTGAGGTTTATGGCGTTCGCAGAATTTGAAGAATTTACTATTCTGAGGATATGAGGATTGCAGTGTTCTTAGGATTTGAGGATTTAGGTGTCCAGAGTATTTGAGGATGATGATGTCCTGAGGATTTGAGGATTTTGGTGCTCTGAGGATTTGAGGATTTTGGTGCTCTGACCATTTGAGGATTATAGAGTTCTAAGAATTTGAGGGTTTTGCTATTTCGAGGATTTGAGGATTATAGTTTTCTGAGTATTTGTGGACTATGGCGTTTTGAGAATTTCAAGATTTCAGTGTTCTGAGGATTTGGGGATTGTGATTTTCTGAGCATTTGAAGATTATGGTGTTGTCAGGATTTGAGGATTTTGGTGTTTTGAAAATTTAAGGATTGTCGTGTTCTGAATATTTGAGGACTATGAGGTTTCGAGGATTTGAGGATAATGGAGTTCTGAGGATCTGAGGATTTCGCGGGTCTGAAGATTTGAGGATTTGGGGTTCTAAGGATTTGAGTATTATGGAGTTCTGAGTATCTGAGGATTTCGGTGTTCTGACGATTTGAGGATTTTGGGGTTCTGAGTATTTGAGTGTTATGGAGTTCTGAGAATTATAGGATTATAGAGTTCTGAAGATTTGAGGATTTGAAGATTTTGGTGTTTTAAGGATTTGAGGCTTATGATTTTCTGAGGATTTGAGGATTATTGTGTGCAGAGAAT